AAAATATCATAATATTGGCTTTTACAAATCTCAGCTTTTTTTTTTTAATGTGAGCATGCTTATAGCCAGGTAAGGCACTTTGTTTCCATGAAGTGATCCTAAACTATGGTGATAAATTAATCAGGAAGAATAAATGAAAGATTTTCCACCATCTCCAAATGGTTATATTGTAGTCTGAGCCACTATGGGACCATCATATGTCATGAATTTCTTTATAGAAAATGAGGCGAGAATTAAAAAAAAAAAAATCTGAGTAATTTTCTCAGGGTTATTTTTCAGGCATTAGAAATTCACCGATTCTGTTATTTTCAAAGATTATTTATAATTTGTATAACTTTTCATTTTAAATGCTTGTTAATATTTTGGTTCTATTTCTGGTTTATTCTCTAAATTAAGTCCATTTCAAAGACATTATTTAATGATTCTTGTTTGAAATTGCAGGAACTAGAAATACAGGCTCGTGCTCATGGTCTGCCAACCCTAGCTTCACTTGGCGCAGTTGATTTAGGTGCTCACGTCACCAAACAGCAGAGCCATCCCGAGCAGAATTCAGTAGACTATTGCCAACAACCGACCCTGTCTCAGGGGCCAAGCCCTGAGCTCTGTGATCAAGCTATGGCCTTCTCTGACCCTTTGTCACACTTCACAAATTTATCATTTAGTGCCGCTTTGAAAGAGGAACAAAGATTGGATGACATGCTATTGGATGACACAGTGTCTCCGTTTGGAACAGATCCTCTGCTATCTGCCACTTCCCCTGCAGTTTCCAAAGAGAGCAGTAGGAGAAGCAGCTTTAGCTCAGATGATGGTGATGAGTTATAAGAAATAAACAGGCTCGTTCATCAACTGGGAAACAGTTCTATGCTGGTGCTATGCAGTTATGTTCTGTGTTTCACATGTTGCTTTGGCTTAATTTTTCCAAAAGAAGTATGTCATTCATGAAAAACTGATTGATGAGAAGCAACAGAAGAATTTGCAGGAAGAAAAAACATGGTGTTAATTATTGAGAGCTAAAAATATATTTTCCTTTTGGACTACAGAGTTTAAATCCACTTAAATTTTGGTTTCCTGGAAAGAGGTACAGCATAAGAAATACCTCTTTATTGATGTTTTTAAAGCAGCAACTTGGCAGTGTACTATTGGAAAACAACTACAAAGTGTAAATCAACTGAAATGTACAAACCTTCCCTTAGTCTTTCATTTCCATCCTCTCTTACAACATCGATTTTCAAGAATCAAGATCAACATACCTGGTGGCCTCTGCCTTTCTCCATTGTCTGGTAGACACATAAGTTCAACCCTTATAGAAGAAATAATTCCAAAGTAGGTGATCTTTCACTTATAATTGAAAAGTTAATTTACAATGAACATGAGAATTTTACACAATGCGATACAGAAAATTTACAAAAACATTGCTTACTAAAATTAGATCCTGATTCCTTTAGTTGGTTCCATTACACTAATTCTAAAACCATCCTTGCATATTTATATATCCATGCTTGTTTCCAAAAGAAGAACACATTAAATGTTTTCCTCAGGAATGTGCTCTAGAATTTTATTCCTTTACACAAACATACACCCACACACATGCACACAGAGCAGGTACTATATGTCCTTTCTTTTTCTTCTTATAATATAATAAGCATCAGAAGCATGTTCCAAATCCTCTTTTTTTCATCAAGATGTCAGATAATCAATTTCAGTAAATAAAATATTCAAAAGTCCCCCTGTTATGACAGTTTGTCAGGTGTTTAAAACTTATCATCATGTGCTATATTGGATATAGACTAATTAATTGTTGATACGTTTTTTGCTCCAAATTGACAAAATATTGAAAATTGTATTGCCAACTGACAAAATCATTAGTAAAACAGAAACTATTTCATATTACGTTCAGTTCTGCATGGAGGATAAAGTTCTACATTCAATTCTGAGTAGAGGATAAAGTTCTATCCCTGTAAGTGCTTAGTACTTGCCCTATGATCTTTGGTTGCTTTGTTAGCTTTGATTATAAACATTTATATCTATGATGTTTCACTAAGATTTTATCTCTCAAGCTTGTTTCATGTTTGGGAATTGAGTTAGCAACATGCTTGCTCTATGCTTGACCTCCATGAATGCTCATCCAATCAGTGAGTATTTATGGAGGGATACTCAGAATTGCAGTGTGTCCTGTGAAAATGTACAACAGATGAGCAAGATTTGGTCTTACTCCTAAGGAGTTAACAAGACTACGTGAGAAACAACAACAAAGGATAGAAGACTTATAAAATTGGAATCTAACCATAGCTATACATATAAGAAGGTTGGAGATTATGAAAATGAAAGACAAAGTCTATGGGGATAGCAGAATTTAACTTCTCTTTTAAAGGCATACATTAGGTGAAATGAAGAGCATATAAGGAATAATATTAACCAAATGATAAAGGTCAGAATAAGTTGGGGAGACATCTTCCTGGGGCATTCATTAGAAAGATCTGGGGCCCTAGAAGATGCCGGTTGAGGAATTCTGGAAAATAATATTGGCAACGGGTTGTGGAGGCCCTTGAAAACAAGGGCGAAATCATAAAGTAGAAATGAAATTTTTTATTAGAAGGGAAAAGCATAAAAATAAGATATAATAATAACTTGATTGAGATGTAATCATTATGAATAGTAAACTTTGGGATAAATTTTTGAAAGGGCCTTTTAGGTATTTCTCACATGGAAAATACGTCATCACAAAATTTGAAACCTAATGTTGATGAAAGTGGAGAAATTGTAAATCCCATAGCATACTGATTTCTCAGGCTTAGCTTATATTGTTAGCTCAGATTTTGGAGAAATAACATGATTTTCATTGTTTGACATGGAAAAATAATTACTAATTTCTAGGAATAGTCATTAAAGCCAGATAGGTAAAGTCATCTGAAATTAGCCATGTGAAACAGAAGAATTAGATACACTTTCTCAATAATTTTCAAGAGGAAATTATATACTTTGAACTGTATGACAAAATTTCACTTTACTATCTGAGTTGACAATTTGATTTAACATTGCAAATTACAGAGAAGGAAAGTATTTTAGGATTCATGGAAAACACACCATTCTAGATAGAGGCTGAGTTCTGTTCTCATTTTGTCCACTATTCTCATTTCTTCATATTCTGAGAAGACTTGCACTGATGATGTCATTACTTTGTTATCATTTTCCATGCTGTTAAAGTACTACTACTTGGCCCTGAAACCTATTCCTCATAATCTTGGCTGACACAGAACTTGGAATAGGATGGTGGAGTCTGGATGCGAGATCTGGAGAGGGGACTAATAACTGCTGCTACATTCAGATTATGAGATGTCAGGGAATTGTAAAATGGGTAATGGATTTTTAAAGAGTAAAGAGTAGTGCTGTGTCCCAGTCAACTGAAATACATTAAAAATTAATTAGACAATAGTTCTTAATTTTTTAAGCATGATCTCCTGAGAATCTAGTGAAAGTTACAGACTCTCTTCCTAGAAAAAATGCAAAGCAGTATGTATAGACAATAATTTGCCTGCCTCCAGAGGTCTTAGGGGCCTCCTGAAGGGCTACCAGGTGAAAAATTTCCGTATCAGGTCTGTTACTTTAATAGATAGTTCCTTAGCTGTGTATCTATCAAGAAATAGGTGTTTGGTCAAATTCATATATAATGATAGAGGAGGGAGCCCTACTTATCTGAATATAATTATCCCAATCCTAACAATGATAAAGTTGCATAGGAAAGTAAAAGTTTACCAAACGCTAGATGATGATGATGATGATTATTATTATTTGAGACAGAGTCTCACTCTGTTACCTGGGCTAGAGTGTCGTGGTATCAGCTTAGCTCACAGCAACCTCAAACACCTGGGCTCAAGCAATCCTCCTGCCTCAGCCTCCCGAGTAGCTGGGACTACAGGTATGTGCCACCATGCCCAGCTATTTTTTTCTATATATTTTTAGTTGTCCAGCTAATCTCTTTCTGTTTTTAGTAGAGACGGGGTCTTGCTCTTGCTGAGGCTGGTCTTGAACTCCAGACCTGAGCTATCCTCTTGCCTTGGCCTCCCAGAGTGCTAGGATTACAGGCGTGAGCTTCCACGCCCAGCCCAAACACTAGATTATTCACTAAGAAAGTTGTTCCCTTATAAAGTAGTCCCCTTCCAAACACCTCCTCCCCCTTCAACAAATTATACCTTCTGTGTATTGTAGTTATGGATCAGTTTCTCTGTAATTATTGGATGCTGTAAATGTCAGACCGTAACATTTTGAAATGATGCAAATAAATTTCAAAGTAAAAATAATGTAAATTTAGAATCCAATTATGTATCTAAAAATCAAGATAGACCCTTAGGATAATTGATGAATACCTAGAATACTTTTGCAGAAATGAAACTTTTTGTAACAGTAAAAGAGGTATATTGTTCATCAAACAATTTTGTCATGAAAAGCATCAACTATCTCAGGAATATTAATACAGAATTAACCAAGCCTTATTCATTCAAAAAATAATGCATAATTGCAATTATAAAACTATTTCATATTACGTTCAGTTCTGCATGGAGGATAAAGTTCTACATTCAATTCTGAGTAGAGGATAAGACACTTATTTTCATTCTGGGATTAATTTTACTATATAAGGGCTTCTTAACTATTCTATTAAAATTTCTATTCAGAAGCAATAATATCTAAGAGTGAATAATAGTCATGTAAATCATTATTTCATATTAATGTAAAAGATTTTGTAAGTTCTTATGAATTCTGCTGACATGCACAATTGTGAAAAGGTTATCTCTCCGTTCTACAGTGATATGCGCTGGAACAAAGGAACCATTCTAAAAGCATCAGTGGAGTACATCAAGTGGCTACAAAAAGAACAACAGAGAGCCCGAGAATTAGAACACAGACAGAAGAAATTAGAGCAGGCTAACAGGCGACTTCTACTCCGGATTCAGGTTTTTATAAGAATGTTGCCACGAGCTCATGTAGCTTACTTACATATGACTTACCTGTCATCAGTTTTATTCATTGGTCTCATTTATTATTTTTCTTATTAATAATCATTTTTCCTTCTGAAGGGTAATTTTATTGCCTTTTATAGGTTCATGAATTGGATTGTTTCAATTAGGTTTTGGTTAGAAATCCAGAATTAAGACGACATG